AGAACCGGAACACTACCAAGAGCATGAACTTGACGAGTGAAAGCACAACACATGGGAAGTTGAACAGCAAAGTGAGAACCGGAACACCACCAAGATTACAAACTTGACAAGTGAGAGTGAAAGCACAGCACATGAGAAGTCGAACAGCAAAGTGCGAACCGGAACATCATCAAGAGCATGAACTTGACAAGTGAGAGTGAGAGCACCGCACATGAGAAGTTGAACAGCAAAGTGAGAACCGGAACACCACCAAGAATACAAACTTGACAAGTGAGCGTGAAAGCCCAGCATATGAGAAGTTAAACAGCAAAGTGAGAACCGGAACACCACCAAGAGTACAAACTTGAAGAGTGAGAGTGAAAGCACAGCACATAAGAAGTTGAACAACAAAGTGAGAACCGGAACATCATCAAGACCACGAACTTGACAAGTGAGAGTGGAGTAGAGGAGGCACATACATATGAGAAGTTGAACAGCAAAGTGAAAACCGGAACACTACTAAGAGCATGAACTTGACGAGTGAAAGCACAACACATAGGAAGTTGAACAGCAAAGTGAGAACCGGAACACTACAAAGAGTACAAACTTGACAAGTGAGAGTGAAAGCACAGCACATGAGAAGTTGAACAGCAAAGTGAGAACCGGAACATGATCAAGAGTACGAACTTGACAAGTGAGAGTGGAGTTAAAAGAAGCACATACATGTGAGAAGTTGAACAACAAAATGAGGACCGGAACATCATCAACTATTGTATGAGTGAAAGCATGAGCTAGACTAGATCAAGGCACAAGATTGAAGCATGAGATCAACCAAGGAAGAATCGAGACATCTCCTACTACTATGTGAGAGAAAAGCATGAGCTAGACTTGATCAAAGCACAAGATTGAACCATGAAATTAACCAAGAAAGAATCGGGACATCACCTACTACTGTGTGAGAGAAAAGCATGAGCTAGACTAGATCAAAACACAAGATTGAAGCATGAGATCAACCAAGGAAGAATCGAGACATCACCTACTACTATGTGAGTGAAAAGCATGAGCTAGACTAGATCAAAACACAAGATTAAAGCATGAGGTCCACCAAGGAAAAATCGGGACATCACCTACTACCATGTGAGTGAAAAGCATGAGCTAGACTATATCAAAACACAAGATTGAAGCATGAGATCAACCAAGGAAGAATC